AAATAAAAACTCAAGAATGAACATATGCATCAAATGTGTATAGCTGGCTAAACTTGTCTCATGCATATTTTGTGCTATTTGTAAAGTTTATGTAAACACTATTGTAATCAATAAAATATTTATAATTGTTTTAAAGTAGAAATGGTTTTAAAAATTCTTTGATGTGTGGTAACCCTGTTGTACACCAGATGGCGATATCTGCCCATGATTTTAAGAGCTAACTCCCAGTTGCTGCAGTTTGGTTTGTGATGCGTGTGTCTCTGGGGTGTGTGTGTCTGTGGTGTGTGTGTGTGATGTGTGTGGTGTGTGGTATGTGTGGAGTGTGTTTGGTGTGTGGTGTTTGTGTTGTGTGTGTGGTGTGGTATGTGTGTATGGTGTACGTGTTGTATAGACAGAGAGATTCTTAACCTGAAAGTAAATCTAGAAACTTTATTAGATTCATCGCAAAAAATAGCTCTTAGATGATCTATCATATTGCCTACATTTTAGCATTAAAATGTTTTATCTTCAGGATAGAGATGGAAGGGTATTGGTGTTTTGTTTGCTCCTTTTTAAAGTTCTTTCTTGACACAATTATAAAGTCCACACGCTCAGTATAAATCCTCACCCTAGGAACAATGCCCAGTAGCAGTTAAAAAAATAAAAAATAAATAAAAAAAAAAAACCAGCGAAGTTTATCTTTATACAATCTGAAAGACTGGGATGCGCTAAAGTTGGTGACTTGGTAGACCTTTGCAGCTGCAATAAGCTATGAGCTTGATTCTCTGAAGCACGAGAGTGTGACTTTGTTTGATAATGAAAGTTTTCAGAACTAAGTAATCAAGTATATATTCTTAGTACCTCAAATGCATTGCTGTAATCTGGAAATTAGAATCTTAAGTATGGAAATTTCTTTCATTTAATTTATAATGTAAAGTGTAAATTGTACAAGTTTCAATGTAGTTTTCATATATCAGTGCTAATCTGTCAATGTTAACAAAATTCTGTTTCATCCTAATTTTCTGCAAGAATCACCCTCCCATGGATTCCCTGGTGGCGCTGTTGTGAAGACAACACTATCAAACTACTGCCAGGTACTGCAGCAGGAGTTTAATCCCAGGCCACAAGGGAGCTGCAGACCTCTCTTGACCTGCCCACTGCTCCCCTCAGCAGTGTACTTTGTTAATAGGCCTGTTCTGCTCCCCTCTCTGTCTCTGGTGAATCCTCTTGCTGCCTCTGCACCTCTGACCTGTACCCCATTTCTGTATGCATAAATAAATAAAATCTTTTAAAAAATGTGAGTTCACTAGGTTCTGATTAATCAGCAAAAGTGATAATAAAAATAGTTCACTAAACCTATAGTTTATTAAATCCCTAGTAAAGATTGATATCTTAGATTGATGTCTTGGATTAAAGACATGTGATAAAAACAAAATACAAAAGTGTCTTTAAAGGGAGGGGCATGTAAGT